TGCGTCTCCCTGAGTATCACTGCAGGCGTGGAGGAGAGGGGACAGGGATTCTCACAGCAGACCCTATATTAAGTATAGCTATACCCCGGTACTGCCTGGGACATGTCTATGTAAAAGAACTTTTTCAAATATTTATTAAGTCATTATTTTTTGGCAATAATGGAGTTTGAATTTGGGGCTTCACGCTTGAGCCATACCTCCTGCCTTTTTAACTCTAGTTATTTTGGAGATAGGGTGGTGTTTTTCTCCCAGGCTGGCCTGGACTGTGATCCTCTGATTCTCTTATTTTTAGGTTTCCCACAGTGCCTTTCGAGCTTTTTGCTTGGGCTGGCCACAAACTGAGATCCTCCGGATGTCAGCCTCCCAGGTAGTTAGGATTAGAGGCGTGAGCCACCAGTACCTGTGATACAAGTTATTTTTCAGTACGGGTATATTCCAGATGATGTTCGATAACTACTAAACAGTAATTTGTCCTTTATCTGAAGTTCAAATGGAAACAGGCACTCTGTGTTTTCCCTGATAATTTGGGCTGTGGGTTGGTTAATTAACCTCTCTGTACCTTCAGCTTTTCACTCTAAAATATGAGAACAAAAATGTCTGAAGATGAGAATTAGCTCGGTACTGGAAGGTCACGCCTGTAATCCCAGCCGCTCAGGAGGCAAAGAGCAGGAGGATCACGGTTCAAAGTCAGCCTGGAGAAGTAGTTTGTGTGACCCTATCTCAAAAAAATCCCATTACATAAAAGGGCTGGTGGAGTGGCTCAAGTTGTAGATCCTGAGTTCAGCCCCAGTACCACAAAAAAAAAAAAAAAAGATGAGAATTAAATGATTAAATGTTTTCATGCAAGTCAAGGAATTAAGCCGGGCCCAAGGCTTAGTGTCTGCTGGCTTCCACTTCCTGCTGTCAGAGGCTGAGGGTCAAGTGTTTCCTTGTCCTCTCTGGCCCCATCTTCCCTGCACTATGTGCAGGTCACTGGGGCCTCCCACGCCCATCCTCTGCCCTGGTGAGCCTCCCCCACATGCCCAGCCTTCAGGCAAAAGCAAATCAATGCTGCAGGTCCCAGAGCTTCTCCCCCTCAGCCCAGGCACGAGGGCCTGTTCCCAGGACAGCACAGGGGTTGGGACAGGGATGGGCAGTTTCCTCAGACATACAATGTACCCCTGTATGAGGGAGGTGACCCTTCTCACAGGCCACCACACACACACTCCAACGCACAGTGACCTACTGGGCGGCTCATTCTGTGACTCACAGATGTTTTGAAAGACATTGAGACCCCCGGCAGACCCTCATGCCTCCATGAAAACATACAGCTTCTAATTTAGGGAAGACCCAGCAGGACAGACAAAGGTGTTAGAAACAAGCGGCCAGATAGTGACTGAGGACACGGGCAAATTAATGCAAGCACGCCTGCACACACACACTGCTGGGGACCACTAAGAAACCCGCTCACACATGCATGCACACGCACACACACCACACATGAGAAATCGCAGGCATATGCCCTGAAACTCCAAGCCACACTCCCAACGGGATGGGCAGACCTCCTGCTGGTGGACACCAGCATTAACTGGACACCTGTCCCTGTGCCATCCCTTTCAGGTAATGTTCCCCACTCCCACCACAGCCAGGGTCCCAAAGCCCCTTTCCCAGCAACCTTCACATCCACGAATTGTCACACATCCTCCAAATGTCCCCTGAGCGTCCACCAGAGCTCCATGCTCCCCCCCTCCAAACTATCCAAAGGTCTTCCCTCAAAATTCATCCTTCCATGCCCCACCAGGATAAGCTGGGTCCTCTGGTTGCCTCCTGGAAGCCTCCCCCATTGGCCTGACCCTCCTGACCAGGCCCTGCTCTGCTTCGTGTCCTGGAGGGACCCTCCCTCCCACCCACCCATCCTCCAAGGGACCCACTCTCCTGTCTCCTCTCTTCCTGGTCTCTGTGACACTCAGGGACTCGGTTACTCTGTGGCTCAGAAAAACCTGAAAGGGCTCAAGTGGTAGAGTGCCTGCTTAGCAAGCAGGAGACCCTGAGTTCAAATCCTAGTGTCACCAAAAAAACAAAACAAGAAAGAAACACCCGAGAGCTTCAGGTGGCAGCCTGGGTCCCTCACAGGGTTTGGGGAGGAGAGGGGTCTTTAGCAGCTCCCTGCACCCCTGGGCCAGCAGGCTCATCTCTCTGTCCCCCCACCACCATTCCACAGCCATCATGCTGTCACACGTTCCCAGCGCAGCCACTCTGTCTGGGTAGGAACTGTTGAATGACTTCCAGGATGGGTGGAAATCAGCCAGGGTTTGGTGCTAGCCGCTGACCTCTGGGCAGGGTGAGGTGGCTTGCCCAGTGCCACTTTGCTTAAGGTGACTCTGGGGTTGACCAAGAGATGCCCAGGTACCACCTGTACATGCAAATGATCAAACTTACCTGATCCCCCGGGCCAGCTTGCAGACGAACAAACTCACATCCGCACACAAGGATAGGCAGACACTCATGCAGACAAGCGGTGGAATACACAGAGCCACAATCGCACAGACCCAGAACATACAAGCTCCCGCAGCTACACCCCAACCTCCAGTCACGCTCGCCCAATCGCACAGACGCATACAAATACGCTCTAGCAGGCACTCGACAAACGCCCCATCCCATGCAGAGGGTCAGCCACACAATCAGACCCTGCTACACAACGCATTATCAGATACAAAGGCACACATGACCTTACACAATCCGATTCTCACAACCACACGCATTCAGCTCAAACACAGACAGCCTGGGACAAGTCCCACGAGCCCTGTCCCGCTGCACTCACCGCGCAACGCTGCAGCCTGTGGACACCAAGAGCTGAGCGCGCGCCTGGAGTATAAAGCCAGGTCTTAGCGCCAGAGGGCGACGCCCTCTGGACTACAATTCCCAGAAAGCCCCGCGCCGCCAGCTATGCGGCTTTCCACCCTCGGCGCGCGCGAGGGCCACTGGGAAACGTAGTCTTCAGATGGGCGGGGGCATTGCATGCGCTCTCTGCTTCCACTCAGCTTCCAGTTCTATGGGTGTGAAAATTCCCTCCGGCAGTAAAACTTGTAAGTTGACAGGGCCCTGGTGGCAGGAGCAGAAGGGGAGGATTTTCAGAGTGGGTCACAGAGGAGGAAGTTGGAAGAAGTACATTTCTGTGGTCAGGTCTTTGCTTCAGGACATTTATGTTCCAAAGCATGAGGTTTTGGAGTCCTATTTTTTTCCAGCTGGTAGCACAGCCCTCGGACCTCAGGAAGTGGGACATGGCTGAACTTTCCTTAGGACTGTAGGGCGTGGGGCATGTATGTCGTGGGAAGAGAATTCCTGGTTAGCAGCGATGTGGAGTTTAATGTGGTGCAGGGATTGCTTTTATGCAGTCTTCCCTGTATACAAACCCTTTGTCTTGGGGGCCTTAGAACTCCTCTTCCAAAGGTGGAGTATAAACTTCCTTATCCCAGGAGACTTGCCTTGGGGACAGAGTCTAGGCCTCCAGGGCTGTGTGTGCACTTGTTTGCATTTCACCATCAGGAGGAGAATGAATGCCACAGGTTAAGACTTGCCCTCAGCTAAGCTGCAACTAAGGTCAGATAGCAGTGTCAACCCAGACATATGACCCAAACCAGTTAAGGTAAGCAGTGCCACCTGACCTGCCCTCAGCGGATCCCAGGTGAGCACGCACACTCTCTTGCTGGGTGCCATGGGAGTCTTGTGGTTGCTCATTGCACAGCGTTACCGTGACTAGAACCACCCACGACGTATGACGTACAAGTGGCAGGTAAAGCACAAAATAGGTTCACAGATGTTGAGACTGGCAAGCAGAGAGAAAAATCTAAATCGATCTAGAGCGAGTGTTTAGTTCATTGCTCGCTCTATAGAGAAAGGGGTTTGGGAAGGGGGAGCAGCGGCATAGGACCAGCCCAGGCATCTTTGTCATTCATGACTTACCAGGGGAGGAGCTGTTTTGCCTGCAGACTATGTTTCAAGGTTCCTCAGTTAGTATTCATTTGGATTTGACATCCTGTAGCCCTCAGAAGATTTGTTTCTTTGGCCATTAAATGGATTATCTATGTGCTGTGGTTTAGATGAGGGACCCCCAAAGGCCCATGTGTAAAAGGCTGGGTCCCAGGGTGGCACTACTGAGGCCTAGTAGGAAGTGCTTAAAAATTACCTTCCAAACTACCTGTGCTGATAATCTGCTAATGTTCCTGGTGGTGACACAGACTGATGTGGTTAATAAACTGAAATCATCCTGAGGATAAACACCTTTTAGCTTCATTAGTGTCAGGATAGACACATGACAGAAATTCAAAACCCTAACATTAGCATTTTTATGAATCACAGAGGATGTCCTATTTCTAATTAGAAATATCCTGTCGCTGGGTGTGGTGGCTCACGCCTGTAATCCTAGCTACTAGGGAGGTATAGATCAGGAGGAGAGCGGTCCCTGGTAAAAAGTCCGAGACCCCATCTCAACCAGTAAAAGCTTGGTGTAGTGGCATGGGCCTGTCATCCCAGCTGCACAGGAAGTGTGAATAGGATTGTGGTCCAGACTAGCCTGGGCATAAATGTGACACCCTATTTGAAAAATAAGCAAAAAGGGTTGAAAGCATGGATGAAGCACTGAAGTACCTGCCTAGCAAATGTTAAAGGTCCTGACTTCACACCCCAACACTGCCCTCCGCAAAAGCCATGTCAAGTAATTGAAATATGTGTTAACAAATTTAAAAATACTATTGCAGTATGTTTTAACCTTGGTAAAGTTATTCAAAAACTACAATCAAGCAGTGTCCAGATTCCTTAGAAGTAATTGGTGAAATATGCAATACTTAAAAATAGATAAAGATTTGCAGGCCAAACTTTTTAGGCCCAAGGAGACACGAAAATTTTGTATTTATAATCTGACAACAAGAACCTGTGCACATACTTGTTTCCAAACACTTAAAACGTACGAAAGAACAGACTGAGATATATCTTATTTTTAACTTTACTTTTATTGTTGACACTATTACAGATAGAACGGCCACACCATATTAACAAACCAAAAACCTGTGCACAGTAACAAGATGAAGAAAGTGTATCAAGATGTTAATCACAGTCTTTGGATGGTGGAAACATGGGCGAATCTCTCTGTACAGCCGCAACTTCAAGGCTTCTGCAATGCGCATGCACTGCATGTGTGATGGAGATGCATGTAATAAAGGTGGATTACTGGAACACTGTGATGAACGCCACTCAAAGAAACTGCGCCAACATACCTATTGGAATCCCACAACCACCTCACAACCACCTGCAGTGTTTCCCTCCTTCCCATGTCCCACGCCCAGCATACTTATCATCAACACCTAATAACTGCAGACCGATGCACAGATCCAGGTGTTACCAGTTGTTTGGAATAAGGCTGAATTTTCTTCTACTTCGCTGAATTTCCCAGATTTCTATGAATGTGTATTAAATTTGTAATGGAAAAACACATTATGTTTATTACCAAAAGACCAAAAATTTTTTGAGAAATTTGGGACAAAATATTTCACCATAATCCCACAACACTAATTAATTTCCACATTGCTCTTCATTTTAGACTTTATGCAGACATATTTAACATCATTAGTCACAAGTTTGTGCACTGAAACAAGATGGAGAAAACAGATCATGATCTCGATAGGAGTTGCTGAGTATTGGGAATATAGGTCAATTTTTGTTTTCTAATTTTTCTTATTTTCCAATTTTTCCTTTTGGGTACAGATTATGCATGTAATAGTGACAAACATAACAGACTTTGTTACCAGGACACTACTATAAGGAGCATTTGAAAAGATTAAGATGCAAGCGCTTAACCATAATTCCACAAGAGTAATAGAACAGCTATCTTGAGTACACATTTTGACACGGTTATAATCATCATAAACGAGATACTGAGCGTGTGTCTGTCTTTGGATGGTGGGGATATGAATTATCTTTCCTCCACTCTTGGTATTTTCCAAGTGTTTGATGAGCTCAAATCGTGTTCACAATGGAAATGTGATCATTAACTTTTTAGTAACACTATCATGAAGAACATACAAGAAATTTAAGAAAATAATGCTCAACTATAAGCCTACAACAACACAATAGCTTTTGACTATAAGCATACATTTTAAACAGTTATAATTGTAGTATAAATATAATTTTGTGTCCTGCTTTCTCCACTTAATATTCTGTAAATATATTTGCACGATGCTACATAGCTCTTCGTGATTATCATTTTAAAACAGCTGCATGACAGTCCAAAGATACATTTAACCATTCCTCTACTGTTTGGCATTTAAGTTTTTTCTAGCTTTTCACTTACTTCAGGTTGGAATAAATACCCTGACATTTTGATTTCTTTTGGGAAAGGGTGTAGTGAGTAACACTGCCAACAGTAATGAACCCCAAATCCACCCCAATGCAGTGCCTCACTGCCCCTCAGTTTCCCCGGATGTCAGTTCCAACCTTGGGTCTTTCTATGCAGCTGACTGTCACCTACACCATGCCATCAAAAGGCCCCTTCTTCCAAACTGCTCAGGACACTCCACTTGCTTCATTCTCATCACCCTAGTCTTCCAATCTCTGCATGGGGTGATTTCTTCCTTCTGTCTCCTTTCCCTCCTAGGTTGGGTGGTATGTTAGGACTCCCTTCTTTGGCTTACTCATTGCTGCTCTCGCTCTCAGTTCTCCAACCTCCCTAGACTTTGGCATTCTCTGCAGCCTTAACATACTTCCCATGAGTCCTAAACACTGCGGATCTAGAAGAGGAAGATTCAGACACATTTCCCCCAGCAGATATTTTAATTTTGCTCAAATGATCTGTACTTATCTTTTGCTCTCTTCATCTAACAGATTCAAATTTTTTAAAATTTTTTAAATTTTTAATTTTTTTTTCCCCAGCCAACTCAAGGCCAAAATATTTCTTTATCTAGCCATTATGCAAGGGGAGGGGAAGCAAAGGAGCACAGGTGGTTCACAGAATAGAACATGGAAAACCTCAAGCTGTGAGGTCATAGGAAAACAGGAGGTCAGACAAACATGACACTAAATGGACAGCTCAGAGATACTTAGGAGGGCTTAAAGAGAAGGAACAGATGATAACAAAACAAATTAAGGCTGCTGGGGAACCTGAGTCCATGTTAAGCTTGGGTTGACTATAAAGAAAGCTTTTTTTGTGTGTTTTTGCTTTTTAATTTTTTTAATGCAAGTTAGACAGGGGGGTTAGAGATTCAGACAGCTAAAGAGGAGAATGAAGTTTAGCTACAGAGAGAACTACAGATACTAGTTCCTGGGCACCAGGGAGCAAATGACTTGTGGCAGCACACACTGATGCCACGCAGGTGACCCAAGCCACATTGCTACTTGTCACTTAAGGCAGGAAGCACACAGAAGTGATGAAAGGAGGTTGCCTGCTTCCTATATACAGCATGAGGGCCTCTCCTGTGGTTCTCAACCTTCATTAGGCACTACTGTGATCTAGTGATGGTTGCAACCCATTCTTTAAAGGCAAAGACGTAAGATTTACAGGGAAAAGCTTCGGGCTTTATGAATTCACTACTGAACACACGTTGAGTTGGTTAAAAAAAACCTTTTAAAAACCCAACTGTAATATTTTTGCATGAGAACCACTGTAAGGTACGTACAATGTGGCAATGGGTGGATATGGGTCACAAAGGCCAATCTTCATAATGTAAAGGCTTACACAACATTAGGTTCCAAGGTGTTGGTACAGACAAAACAACTGTCTGAGGAAGCTAAAATTACTTCTCTTTCAAACAGCAAAAATGAAAACACATTATCTTTCACGTCTACACCTTCACAAGACAATTTAAGAGTAACTCAAAAAGATACTATTGGGGTTCAATTAATGCACAATAAATCCTTCTCAGGATCTAAGACACTTACAAATATATTCTAATTTGTTGCTCTTTTCCTCCTCCAAAAAAAAATCAGAGTACCAGGTAAGGTATCTCTGCACAGTAAACAGTGACTGTTTATCACATTAAATCCAAATATATGTGATCACTGTTTTGCTACGAATTGCTCATTTCTATACATGGCAGGAAACGTTATATATATGTTATAGAGGTGTCATTTACACTCAATCGGGGCAATCTCTGTTGTCTCTTTTACTCATAGGGCTTTTCCTCACTCCAGTTATCCCATAAAAGGAAAGGTGTGTGCTATATAGCTCTCCCATGTGCACAGTGATGTTCAATGGGGAAGAGCTAAGACTGAAGGAGTCTCTGCATTCAATGTTTTTTCAGTCTTGAGTTGTCTGATGTTAAGTCAGGTAAATATATGCTAAGGTAAGCTTCCTACTGATGTTATAATAGGTTGTTTAAGTTCTGATTTGGTAAGGGTCAAGTTCTGGGGAGAAGGTTTCCAACCTTTATGCTCAGCCAGTGTGGGTGTTCTGGTGTCTAGCAAGGGACAGGCGGTCATTGAAGAGCTGCCCACAGACATCACATTTGAAGTACTTCTCATCAGCTTGATCAGCGCCCTCTGCACTGGTACTGGCACGTTCAATGTAGCCAGAGCACTCCCCAGGGGCATCTGCAGGTTCAAAGATGATCACACTGGCATGGGTTTTCAGGTGCTCACCAAATGCTGCGCTAGATGCAAAGGTTTCTGTGCATTCATGGCAGTCATAGTAGGGTTCCTCAACCTCAATCTCCTGATCTTCACCTTCCTCTTCTGGGTCTTCTATCCCTGCACCATCAGGCTCATCCGCATCTCCCTCCGGCTCTTCAGCTTTGTCTTCTGGCTCTTCTGCTCTTTCCTCTGGGTCTTCAATCCCTGCACCATCTGGTTCATCAGCATCCCCATTTGGCTGCTCGGCCTCTCCATTTGGCTGCTCGGCCTCTCCATTTGGCTCAGCAGCCTCTCCTTCAGGCCCTTCAGCCTCTCCATTTGGCTCTGCAGCTTCTACCTCTGGCTCTGCAGCCTCCACTTCTGGCTCGGCTGCCTCGACCTCTGGCTCGGCAGCTTCTACATTTGATCCCTGAATCTGCAGAACTTCCTGTGGAATGAGGACATTGGCTTCAACCTCCTGGGCAGCAGCAGCTGCTTCTTCCTCTTCCTCCTCCTCATCTTCAGGATCGAACACTGTATGTTTAGTGAGGACTGAGTCATGAATAAAGGCCTGCCCACAATCTCTGCACTCATAGAATGGCACAGGCCTTCTCAGGGGCTCAGTAAGAAATGAGGTGTGAGTAAAGGAAGGCCCATACTCATAAGGCTCATCTTTGTGAACCTTCGTGTGGTGATCCCCAAGCTCTTTTGCTGTGAAGAAGCACTCTCCACATATCGTGCATTCAAAGAGTTTCTCTTCGGTTTCACTTCCCTGAAATTCAGTGAGGGCCAAGGTTTGAATGAAAATCTCTTCAGCCATCTCATTCTGCTCCAGGTACTCATCATCCCTGTGGTGTCTCATGTGCTCATTAAGGGCAGAACTATGAATGAAGCCTTGTCCACACTGAAGGCATCGGATGGCTGAGCCAGCAACAGCAGGATTCCTCTCTGCAGCACGATTCCTCCGGGGCTTCACAGGCAAGAGGCAAATAAAACCATCATCACATCCCTTCATGGAATACAACTGGTCTTGCTCATGGACTCTCTGATGCTCAAAAAGGAATGAGCTATGAATAAAAGACTCCCCACACTTTGGGCATTCATAGAGCTGCTCTCCAGTATAGTCTTTCTGATATTCACTGATAGAATGGGTGTGAACTTCAGAATGCGTATACTCACGGCTATCAACAAGACACTTCCTGCTGTGGACGTTCTGATGGCCAGTGAGGTCTGTGAGATCCACAAAGCCCAGCCCACAGTCCTGACACTCATAGATTGTATCATCAGGATCATCCTTTTGGGACTCATCAAAGCCTGAGCCCTGACTAATGGTATCTTCACCTGTTTCCTGGCCACGGGTTTCCTCGCCACAGGTCTCCTGGCCATGGGTCTCCTTGCCACGGGTCTCCTGGCCATGGGTCTCCTCACCATGGATTTCCTGACCGTGGGTCTCCTCACCATGGATTTCTTGACCGTGGGTCTCCTCACCATGGATTTCCTGACGGTGGGTCTCCTCACCATGGATTTCCTGACTGTGGGTCTCCTGACCATGGGTCTCCTCACCATGGATTTCCTGAACGTGGGTCTCCTTACCATGGATCTCCTCACCATGGATCTCCTCACCACGGGACTTCTCTTGGGTACAGATATTCTGATGTGCACTGAGGTTGTTGCTACTAGCAGAGCATTGTCCAAACTCTCTAGATTTATTGCGTGCTTGTTCTTCAGCATATTGCTCTTGGGCATAACTTGTCTGAGGGTCAGTAGGGGCCAAGCTGCAAATGACAGATCGTTCATAATGTCTACTTCCAGATGGCTTTTCTCTATCATGAATCTTCTGGTGCTCAGTGAGGTCAGATCTACAAGCAAAGGACTCCCCACACTCCTGACACTCATACAGCTTCTCTCTAGGGTAAATTGTCTGCAGCTCCCCAAAAGGCAGGGAATGAATTACAGAGGTGTCATTGCCCCTATGCTCAATGTACTTCTTTTTAGCACGAGCCTTCTGGTGTTCACGGACATTTGAGTTGGGAACAGAAAATATGCCATCTTGCTTTAATTCACCAGATCCCTCTCCAGCAAGACTTCTTTGAGGTTCATGGGACACACTGGGCATAATGGAATTCTTGTAGTTGTTATTCTTACCCCCTTCGTAAGGGTTCTCCCTGGTCAGAATCTTCTGTCGCTTATTATTAAGGTCTGAGATATAAATGGAGGATTCTCCCATCTCATCATATCCAGCCTGTTCATTTCCATGGTGACGTTTCAGAGGTCTAGTAGCAGCCAAGCGATGGATAATGGAACCCTTGTATTCCTTTCCTTCATAGGTATTCCCTCTAGAATGGACTTTCCGGTCGTTAAGAACATCTGAGCTCTGAATGGTAGACTCTGCCAATACTTTTGGTTTACTGAGCCCCACTGCACTGTGACTTTTCTGAGCTTCCTCAGAACCTAAGCTGTGACTAACAGATTTCTCATATGGTTTCCCTTCGTAGACATTTCCCATAGAGGAAAATTTCTGGGTTTCATCAGGGTTAGTGCTAATGGTGAATGCCTTCTCATCCTCCTCATTTTCAGGTGGTCTTGTTATGGTGTGACTCTTCTGAGATTCAGTGAAGGGCATGTTATGAATAACAGATTTCTCGTATCCCCTACCCTCAAAGAAGTTCTTCCGAGATTGAATTCTCTGATGCTCACTGAGGTCTGAGCTTCGCATAAACACATCTCTGCCATCTTTAAAGTCAAAAAGCTTCTCTTTAGTGTAGGTTTTCTGACGCTTTTTAAGGGACTGACCAGGAATAAAGGTTTCCTCACACACTTTATTCTTATTCTCAAATGGTTTTCCTCTAGTGTGGATTTTCTGATGTTCTTTCAGGGATGAGCTATGGAGGAAGGTCTCCCCACACACCTTACATTCATACATTTTATCTTTACCATACATTTTCTGAAACTCATTAAGGGCTGAGCTAGGCATAAAAGTTTCCCTGTGCTCACGCTCATTCTCATTATCTTTGTTGTCACTAAAGTTCCCTCTACCATGGATTTTCTGGTGCTCAATCAGGGCAGAACTATGAAGGAAGGTTTCCTTACACACCCTGCACTCATAGAATTTGTCTTTGCCATACATCTTTTGAAGCTCACTGAAAGTTGGGCTAGGCATGAAGGTCTCCTCACTGTCCTGATCCTTACATTCTGCAGGATGCTCTCTAGCATGACTTCTTCGATGCTCAGCAAGGGCAGAGCTCTTATTAAAGGTTTCCCCACATTCTTTACACTCAAAGCGTTTCCCTCCAGCCTGACTTTTCTGAACCTCACTGACGGCCACACTGTGAATAAAGGACTCACCATACTCATATAGGTTCTCTCTAGTATGCATGATTTGGTGCTCAACAAATTCTGAGATGACACCGAATGACCTCCCACATTCATCACACACATAAGGCATTGCCTCAAAATCAACTGGCTGTGACTCAGAGAAGGAAGGGGAGCCAAGGCTGCTCAGGCTGCTCATGCTCATGGCTTTTCTCATCTCACTACCACATTCAAAGGGCTTCTTTCTGACACAGCCTTTATGATCATGACTCGAGCCCTGCCCGTCTGTACCGAAATGATAGCGCCTTTTCCTTTCCAGAACTCTCTTTCTGGAAACAAGGTTCGAGTTGAACCTGAAGCCTCCCCTAAATGCATTCCCTTCACAACCCCTCTCCTGGATCACTGACTCCCTCTTATTTAATGAACCGTCCTTCCAATTATCATTTGACACTCTGGGGAACCTTGGCGGCCGATCATTTGACTCCCTTGCTCTTCCAGATCTGGAGCTACGTGACACATCCTTGATGAATTTTTCCATGATCACTCCATGTGAAGATTCATCTTCACAAATTCCGCGCCGATGGGCTGATTTTTTGGCTTCAGGCATAGCTTTAAAACCTGGAAAGAAACCCCAAATGTAAATACTCCCTACTCCTCATACTTGTACGAAATGACAGTGGGACTTGGAGAACATTTTTCTGTGATGTATGGGAATGTAAAGTATAGGGTTCTATGTATGTGTCTCACTGGTTGTGTGACTCCTCTGTAGGATCTGCCTGGTACTTACTTCGACTGGTGCTTGGGTAGACAGTTCTTTTGGATCTTGATGAGTGGCCTTGTGTCATGTGGGAGTGGCGGTCATCTTCAGCAAGCTGCACCCCTGGTCATAAGAACAATGTAATAGCTCAAATTTGAATTGAAGACTGAAACTCATTACCACAAATTGACCAGTCTTTTTCTGAGGCACTACCTCTGAAGTGGCTCATATTCAATTCTTTGGATGTCTTTCATTTTGTTTCATTTTCCTCCTACCCATTCCTTAACCCATTCTAATCTACATTTTAATTCATTCTTTAGTTTTCACTTTCTTACAACCAACTCCTTTTCACTGGCCTTTATGGTCTTCCTCCTGCTTCTTTTCTTTGTTTTTATTTTTTTGTGTTTTTGAGGCAGGGCCTCACTATGTAGACAGCCCAGGTCCTCCACCTCCTGAATACTGGGATTATCAGCATAAACCACCACACCAGGATCATCCTCCTCCTCCTTGATGTTCAAAGAGTTTCTGCCCCCATGGCTTTACAGAAGCACAACCCACTGTCTGCTACCAACATGGGTCTTCTGGAGGAGTCTGCATGGGAATTCAAGATCTCATTCTAAATGTATTTTTAAAATCTCTGATTTCAACTACTCTAGAAAAAGCATCATCTCTGTGGCAAGAGCCATTTTCCTCTTCATCCTTCCCCTGCTCAATGTGTTTTTCAACAAGCCATTATTTCTTTAAAAAAATCTCACCATTTATTCTCTTGCTTGAAAATTTTCACAGGCTTTTTATTGCCTTTGAATTCCAAATATATTAACAGGGACTCATCCTGCAACTTCAAACAAGGCGACAGCATGTGCCAATGACTGGATTGAGAAGAAGTTGCTTACCCAGTGAGAGCAGCTTCCTGTAGTTCTCCATGTTGTCTTGGATTGGGTTCTGAGATTTCTTATCCTCGTTGAGGCCTGTGACATTCCGGTATGATTCAGCATCCTAAAACAGCAAACACAGACCTCTCAATGGAGTCTGTCCCCATGGAAGTCCAAAGAGAGAATAATGATGGCAACATGGGAACTATATACATGAAGTTATATAGGAAGTGCTCACAGTATTTGGGGTTCTGAGTGATCCAAGTCAAGTGTTACTAGGGGCCTACATCGTACCTACCTTGGTGCTACACTCTGAGGCAGATCCCAAAGACGCATGACACATATTCCTTGCCCTCATGCAGCTTATAATTTGGTTGGAGAGAAAAGACTCATGAAACAATTAGAGAACAATAAACAGTAAATTGGGGCACAGATAATAAATGCTAAGTGGGTTTCACGGAGGGACAGTTCAGGGTGGGCCTGAACAGTGAGCAAAGGTTTTGCACAAGGCCTCAGGGGGCCTCAGGTGGTAGGTGAGATTACGGTATGTAGAGGGGACTGGTAGGAAAGCTCGAGCTGGCTCAATATCAACATGCATGGTGTACTCATGGGAACAGAAAAAAGATGCACTCAGACAGATGCCTGATCAGGACGTGTGATATAAACTTCTCTCCCTGTTCCTCCACTGCACAGCATGGCTACGTTGTAGGGCTTCCAGTGTGCAGGATTTTCAAATATCCTAGGAATAACTGTAAGCAATGAAGACCTTTATTTTGGAGTTGTCTTTTCTGTTTTAATAGCTATTTTCTCAAAAAAGAAATTTAAAATTCTACATTGATCAGCAGAACCTTCTCTATAGAATCCTAAAGGACCTTTTTGCTTACTGCCAGAAGGCTGTACTAGAATTCACTGCTCTTGGTGAGATATGATCCCAGGAAGGATGGCACTGAGGTCTGGAGAGAGACTGCAGGAAGAAGATGGTGCTGTGGGAGTCCACAGGCTTTGGAGCTGGAGAGAACTGTAGGGTCAAAGAAGGACCACATCATTTATGAGCTACCCAACCATGGACATAGAAATCTTCCAGAGCCTCAGGTTCTTCATTGTAAAATGGGACAAAAGCACCTATCTGCCTTGCAATATTGTGGGTGGAGGACTTTCTACAATGTGATGTGTTGTTTAAGGTATGTAAAGAAAACAATGTTTTGATATTCAGTTTACTATACTTCTATTATTGGCATAGATATTACAACTACATGGAAAATGTAGCAAAAAAGGACAGGGTTTGCATAGTAAGGTGTGTCTCATCCTCAGAAAGAGAGGCACAAGTTATCAATGTTTAAGCAGAAAGGTTCATTTCTACAACTGCCAATGCCTCATCATTAAAAACCAACAAGGCAACAAAAACCAGTGAGGACAAAGAGATGAAGCAGAGCTTCAGAAATGAAACTCTGGGTTAGGACTGAGAATTCCTAGGACAATAAACAAGCTACAAAAACTTAGGAAGCACTGCAGAATTGGTGCAACTGCCACCTCAGGACACTACACTGCATAATTTTTGTTGGGTGTCCATCAACTCTTGCCACACAGCAGGGGGGCAGGAACTACATCCTGATCAGGTTTGTGAAGAGGCCTTGGCACTCATTTAAAATAAGAAAAAAGAACAAGTGGGCACAGATGTACTTGTGAAGATAGAGAGGAAACTGGAGCTCACAACTTAAGAGGCTGGCAGAGCAGATGAGACAAGAATTTGGGAGGGTGAGAAGCAAAAGGGCCACTGTCCCTAGAGCTGAAGGGTGATTGCTGATAGAACCTATCTAATTTGAGTAACTGTGCATTAAATTCTGAACTACATTGTCCTGACATAAAATTAAGTTCATCAACGCAAGTGGTAGCCCTAAAGCCACTGTTCAGTTTGTGTCTGTAACCAACTATGGCACCTACGTGTGTATGAGCTGCAATCAAGATCAGCGGGAAGAGATGCCCTGAAAACAGTGTGAAGATGGCACAGTTTAATTTTTACATATGACCTATGAACATGACCAATTAAACAGATTTACGTGTGATGTTAAAAGATGTAAGAGAATTTTGTTTTGTACACCATCAAAACATAATTTGTATCATCTGCTGCTTCTGTTTCTATTACAGAGTCAGGAGGAATCAGTGGCTCCAAATTTTTGGATTATGCAGACACAGGGATCAGAGCTCAGTTGCCAACTCTTCAAAATGCCTTCAGAAGGGTATTTTAAAAACAAAAGACAAAGTCCAGCTACCAGACACTGGCAATGAGGCCCAGCATGCCTCCACCCATCTACCACCTGTTCTTCATTGTGCCAGCTATCTGACTTTCATATAGTTCCTGTGCAAGGACCTTTGCCTGAGCTCTCCCTAGTGCCTGGGATTCCCTCACCCCATCACCCAACTGGATCCACTCCTCCTCGACCCTGACAGGTAAAGTGTTCCTGCCTTGAAGATATGTTCCTTCAATCCAAATTGAGACCCCTATAACAATTTCTTATTAACCATCTATGTTTCCTTAGGCACACACAGAAAAAATCAGGAGGTATATAAGGTATCAATATGTATATTTGTTTGCCCAACTGGCAAAAGTGTCTTGGGGCAGGGAGCTTATCTGTTTTGGTCACTGCTGTATTCCCCAGTGCCTAACCCTACTGTCTGTTAAGGAGGAGGTGTTTAAGTCCAAAGGAGATGGAGGCACAGACCTGTTCATGCTGGGGTCCTGCACACTCCTCTCCTCCTTCCTAAGGGCCTTATCAAACCTCATGTTCTCTTCCCCTTTGCTAACCTCCCTAAAAGTCACACATTGCCTATTAACCCATGACTTCATAGCCATTAATAGTTGGCACTTTACAAACATGTGGGTAAATCTCACCGAGTCCTTACAACAGCACTGGGAGGCAGTTGCCACACTCATTTTACAGATGAGGAAACTGAGGTTCATCTTAGTTAAGTAAACAGTCCAAACCCACACAGCTAGCAAGTGGAGGAACCAGGCTTTGAACCTAGTTCTCATCAGCTCCAGAGCTTTTGCTCTCCCCAGCCAGGCTGCTTTGTGATGTGTACCTGTCCTGGCTCCTAGCATTCCAAGTACCAGAATGATCTCCTAAATCACTGCTCCCAACCTACCAAGTGACAAACACTGAGGGGCAAGAACTACTCTGATCACATGGTTAAGTCAGAAAACAAGCTGCAGTGACCTTGGCCACTGATTACTTGTGGAAAGGGACCCAGGCTTCTCTTGGGAATAAGGGGGCTCTCAAGTGAAGACTTGAGAGCCACAAGTTGGACTCTAGGGGGTAGATGAACACACCGGGGAAAGAAAGGAATCTCTGCCATAAGATGAAGTCAGCTTTTCTGGAAAGGGAGGAACCCTGAGCATACCTGAGATCGGGACTCATAATCCATCGAGTCCCTGTTGTCCTCTCTTCCCATCTGGAAACTTGCTCTTGCCATCACAGGAAGGGAAAGATCCCGCTGAGGCAGCCCTAGGAAGAAAAGAGGTATTAAAGGGAGTAAGCTCCAGTCCTGCCCAGTACAGCTCAGGTTTGCCCCAAGTAACTGAGACCTTCTGAGGTGCAAATGTGTGCAAGAGCATGTTTCTCTTCTCTGCATTCTGTAGTTGGGCCCCACTGCAGCAGCTGGGGTAATGCTCTGAACTGGCACAGTGCCACCAGCTTTGATTTCAGTCACTGGCTCTCTTCGTCTCCTCAGCTGGGACTAGAGGCACCATCCTGGATGATCACTTAAGGCACTATGAATATCACTAGATAGGAGTCTTGATATCCTTTTCCTGATTAAGATTTTAGGATGTCCAACTGTCTACCTAAGGAAAATGCTGAGCAAACAGTATTACAAATAGAAATGGATATATATGGCAAAAATCACACAGATGGTACTGTTGAGAGGAACTTAAGAAATGAAAGCCTCAGGACTAAACTTTAGAGGAGCTGTCCAAATTGAAGAGGGACTTCTGAGTCCCCTATCTCTTCCTTGAACCTGTGCACTAGCATTGTATGGGGGTGCAGGCCAACAGACTTACTGCTTCTAGGATTCCTGGTGTATGACCAGCGGTCTCGAGGTTCTGCATTTCTGCTTCTGCCTCTTCGGTCCCATTCTCGCTCCCGATCCCGGTCACCTATGCAGGTCAGACATTTGAGTAATTAATGAAGTGCTTTTACACCCTCTTCTAGAAAGGAATACCATATTTACTCTTCATTTGAGGAGATGGATCCAAACCTGAGGGCCCCAGACCCCCAGGCTCAGTCCCTACCCTATAGGCTTTGCCCAAGTGGGATTTGCTTTGAAGCAAGTTCCAAAGTTCAGCCCAGAAACTTACTCTTCCTATAGACCACCCACTGTTCTACAAGTTCGTAACTGGTTGAGTATAAGTTTTGGACACAGATCATAGACATTCTATGTCTGCCTCAGGCCAAATGATCTTAAAATGCAACTTATTCTACTGCAAAGAATCAAGACCCCAGAAGATAAAACACATCCCATCCCTAAAAGCACCATTCTCTTAAGTAGTTCAATTTCCTTTTAACAAATTGCCCTAGGGAGTGAGCCACAATCTGAAGCAGATTTCAAATAGATTTATTACTTTACTGTGTAAAAGCCCCCGTATTTCACTCCATCTCTTGATGTCTGTTTTGATATAAAAATGCCTCTCTTTCAGCTCTGAGTGATGCTGAGCACTCTGGGGATGGCAAGTCATTTTTATACAGCCTCCATATAATGGGCACCTGGAAACAACCCCCATTGGGCGATGTGACTGATGGGATTGGCTACTCACTGCTGAAAGAAGAAACTGAGCGAGGTGGGGGAGTTTCTCTTCCGCTTCGACTCATGTCGTCGTCGCTGGTCATGTCACTGTTGGTGTCGTCTGAGGACACAGGATACCAGCTTAATGTTTTATCCTTTCTCCACTGTATTCTCACAGTATTCCCCACCCCCCACCCCGCCCAAGGAGCTGAAGTGACTTTGACTTTCACTCTTCAGTGGCTTCCAACCACTCCTGCCACTTACAGACTAAGTTGGAAGTATGGATGCCACCATTCACCCCTCTCCACAGAAACAGCCAACAGGTCACTTCCTGGAACACTATACCACAAGGGCATGGGTCATGGGAAGTTCTCTACCAAGTGGAACCCTTCACATAGAAGGGTCTCCTTTCCTTCTGCTGACTCAAGTGTAGTTCTCAGCCAGGGGCAGTCAGACCTCCCAGGGGCCGTCAGACCTCCCAGGGGCCATTGAGTCACATAGGAGGACATGTTTGGTGGCCACATCCAGTGGGAGGCACCAGCCCCTGCTCCACAACAAAGAATAGCCCAGATCAGCCATCAGTAGGACAAGGGAGAGAACCCCGGCGAGCACTCTCCATGTGCAGTGTCTCACCTTCTGGATGGTACATCCTCTTGTAATTCTCTAGGAGGGCAACGAGCTTCTCACAGCTGTCTGGATTTCTTGCTTGCACCCAAGGCTTGAGCTTTTCAGGGATGATGGTCAGGTACTGCTCAAGGACCAAGAGCTCGATGATCTCCTCCTTGGTATGAATCTCCGGCTGCAACCAATCGAGGCAGAGGTTTCGGAGTTTGATCAGGGTCTTCCGGGGCCCAACAAATTCCACATAGAGTAAGTTCCGAAACCTCTGATGAGAGAATTCACAGACCGCTGGGCCTTCTAGGATGGCATCCGGATCATTAGTCAAGTCACTGTCTAGCTCATAGAGATTTGGGGCCCAAAACTTCTTAGGTTTGGTGGTGGGCAAGTACTTTGGAGGCAGCATTTCTCTAAGTAAAATTCTCACTGGAGGAACCAAACATGAATCAACAGGAAAGATGCAGCAGCCTGGACAGTCAGTACTCAGGGACCTGTGGATCGTAAGGAGATATACACATGTCCCAGAAGTTGAGGACCAGGCAGCAGTGAGGGGCTACCCTACCCAGGGCATCTTATCCCACAGTGCTTTGGGATAAGCATCCCAGTAAGCAGACACACACAAGACAAAACGAGGTTGGCTTCAACAGTAGTATAAGCAGATCCTTAGGTTTGCAGAGACCTGTGCTCAAGGAGTCAGTTCTGCTACTAACTGGTTATGTGACAGTAAGCCAGTGGGCAAATAGCTTGGAGGCTGTCTCTGTAATCTGTGGAATGGGGATAACATCTATATCCTTTTTATAACTGTGAAGCTGAAACAAGCTATGGTATCTACAAGAGTAACCTGAAAATGCTCAAGGCCCTTGCCATTTCTAAAATTGGATATGAGGTTTTTTCTTAGCACAAATGGAAGGGAAGATGCAGGGAATGAGGGCCATTCCTGTCAGTGTACAACACGTATATGTTGTACTCAAAATGTCAGAAGAACTCAACTGTGAGTACTGTGATTGCAATAACTACTTTCTCCAGACCTACACTGTAGTACGCTACTGCCACTGGCTATTTCAACTAAGATGCAATCAACTGAAAATTCAGCTTATTTGCATTAATACATTCCAAGGGCAAGTAGGTACAAGTGGCTGTTGGCTACCACATGGGAAATCAAGAACATTTCCATCTTCATTTGTACTTGCCTACCTAGGTTTGTAGATAGCCTTGAGGCCCCTCCCTCACAGTGCACACCTTCCTTAGGTATCAGGCCCCAAATGCAGCGCTTGGAGAGCATGTTAATACCCTGACACTCCAGTCAGCAGTATTCCAAATGATGGTTATTCTTAAACATCTGAGCTTATCTGTCTATGTCCCAACAATAAAGTGTAATCTTAAGTAAAAGCAGAGATTAACCATCTCTACCACTGTATCCCTGAGTGCCTAACACAAAGTAAGATGTCAACATTGATGTGGCATACTGAAAATAATGTTATGAAATTCCACTTGAGAACTGGTTTTGAAGGCAGGCACACTATTAGTATATACAGAAGCAGCATGACACCATTTCTGGGGAGAGTGAACAGCCTGGATTAACCTCTGTGCCATTTCCAAAGGAATATTCTAGGCAGCAAATCATTCTCATCATCTGTTTTTGTACCCGTCCCTTCTCAGCACTCATGAACATGGATGAGACACTGGTGAGTTATGTGTGACGCTCTCTCACAACAGTGCCTAGAATGCTGAGGAAAACTGAATCAACTATGGGTGAATCCACACAAATCCTATGTGGTGGAGAGCTGCCATTATTCACGCAGTGAGAGCATGAAGCCTCAAAATGCTACTTCATGTTCTTTTGTCTTGATCTATTTTGCCAAACATCTAATTTGTCTTCAAAGAATTAGCTATCTATTTTGATAATCATTTCTTTACCTTGTTATTTCCTTGTCTTTATTGCTCCCCTTTTTGTTTTTAAAAAAATTTTTAGATTGGATATAAATGTTGATTTTTTCAACATTTCTTTTCTAATGAAATCAAGTAAAGCTATTACTTCCCTTTGAACAGTTTTGTTAGCATTTAGGTTTTACTATGTAACCCTTCTATTAGTGGCTAGCAAAACTGGTGTAAGAAGGAGCAATTTGGGGAAGAAATCTAGCTTTGGAAGGGCGAGTTGATTACCTGATAGGTAATTATATAATTTACATATGGCTTTATGTCCAGAAAAAAACAAAACCATATACAGAAAAAAATTTGTTTTAGAAAGTCAGTTTTTTTGAATTAAAAAAGGCCTTGTACACCATAAAAATGTATATTATGTCTCCAAAAAAAGATCTAAAGGAAAGCATAAAGTGTTTCAATTACTCAAGACTATCTAAATAGACTTTATGGCTTGGAAATAACTATAGCAACCTCAGAAAACGCATGCTTTTTCATCTCAATGATGAGCTCTCACTGCCTTTCATTCCTTAATCCTGAAGACTTAGGCAACTTCCCCATTCCCTCTCTGCTCTCCTTCAGGATGACCAAGACATATGGAAAAGAAGACACAGATAACACTCTCCTGGGCAGAAGAATCCCAAATCAAGGGAAGGAAACAGGCCATAGTGCAGGCTCCAGAGGACTGGTATGGCATTTTAAACTAAGGACATGATCAATGTCACCTGCCACAGGCTAAGATTAGAGTCCTCTGCCCGGGAAGGAGAGAGGTGAAGGGGGGGTGGGGAACTGATCCTGCTCTATGGCATCCACATTCAAAGTGCTCTAGAGGACACTGACCCTCCTATTGGGCCTAAGGTATGTAATCACCTGTCAGGGAATAGGATCCTTTCTGGAACGTCAGAGCAAGCAGCTACCCTCAGGAACCGAGTCAAAATGCAGGCATCTGTAATATTTTAAAGAAAGAAATATATGGACTAAGAAACATGGAAGAAATGTAGAAGGAGTGTCAGAGAATTAACTCCTCAAATGGGACAGTGCTGGGTAGGGCCTTACATATTTTCAGGAAAAGGCCATTCCCCATGCCATATAACCAAGGCAGAAGAGCAAAATAAAGCTTAAGTTGTCTTTATGAAACCAGAGTAACTTAAAACTCAAGACAAAGACATCATTAATGAACTGCAGACCAAACTCAACTTCTGAAAGCAGTAATGAAAGTCTCAATACTGTTATTATTGCACATTATTCTGCACAGTCTAGTCAATTACAAGACAAAAAAAATCTGAGGCACAGAGAAAAGAGCTAAAACTGTTGTTCTCCACATAAGATATGTATCTGCTGTGTCACATGAATCTCTCCCCAGTAGTAATGCATTTGAAACATAAAGCACTAAGTGAAAGCTGTAAGAACTATAGATTTTAAAATTTGATAGGAAATTGACACCTTTTAAAAGAAAACATAAATATCCAACTCTTCCTTGGGAGAAAGAGGAAAATATAACCACAGGGGAAGAAACCTATAATGCTGAAATGATTTAAGGAGCAGCTTCCCAAATAAACTTTGTAGGAACAAAATACTTTCCACATTATAGAAAGGTTCTCTCAAGAGGACAGAAAGGAGATGGAGGACTTCCTACTCCTTAGTAATGTGACCTTGAATCCCCATAAGTTTCTCATCACAGAAAGGAGGCTAACTTTTATGCCAAAAAATTACTCACTGCTTTAACAAATTCAAGACTAAAGTCAACAAATATGATCGTTTCACGTGATCAAGACTTTCTGACCAGACCACAGATAGCGTTTGGTCACCAAGAGCAATGAAAAATGATTTTTTTTAGTTTAAAGAGAACCTTTAAAAGAAAACAAAAATCAGAACACAGTACTCCTTCCTATAATGGCAGAGACAACTCTTTTGAGAGAAAGAGAGAGAGAGGAGGGAGGGAGGGAGACAGAGAATGTTTGTGTAGGAGGAAGTTGAGAAGCAAACAACCATAAAGATGAACAATGTCTATGTTTATGTGTCTGTGAAGAAATAAGCACACCTTTACACTGCACATGGAAGTGTCAATTTTGTCAAAGTTAAAAGTGCACATATCCTCTCCTATAAATTGTACTTGCATGAATTTATTCCAGACATATGTAACAATGCATGTGTAAGAATATACTTATTAAAGTATTGATAATAAACAAGATATGGTTTATTCCTACAATGAATTATGAGCCTTTTAAAAGAACAAGACAACCCTCTAAACAGTGAGTATGAGATGATCTTGAAGATGCTTAAGTGCCAAACAGGGCGTTACACCATTTATAGTATTCTAAAAAACTATAAAAATAGATTGCTTATGCAGACAATTTCTCAGGCTTATGAGAAGCGCCAAACAGGGCGTTACACAATTTATAGTATTCTAAAAAACTATAAAAACAGATTGCTTATGCAGACAATTTCTCAGGCTTATGAGAAGCTATTCCTGAAGACTGATAGTGAGCTCGCCTCTAGGAAAGAGAACTGGGGGCCGGGGATAGAAGAGCAACTTACTTTTTCATTGTACATTCTCCTTTTTTTTTTTAACCATGAGCATGTATTACCTAGTCAAAAACATAAATTCAAAGTTAAAACAAAAATTCAACAGAAGCACTAGTGGAGGCCTTTAGAGATTGTGCTGCCCAGAGGGCTGCAGCAGCACTGACATCCTTACACAGTGCTGGACCCAGGCTCTCCTTCCCTCCCCTGCCCATCCCACCCACAGCCTGAGTTCATGGTCATGCCTTACTCTCATTATTTGCAGATGACATGGCAGGTAATTTAGACTGCCCGGAAGAATCAACTGAAACTTCTGGACCCAGTAAATACTTATGGAAATAGTAGCTAGACTTTGAACGGACCCACCCCTCAATTACACATGGCAATTACCAATACATAAGTTCAATACCATCTTCTATACTGGTGATTCTATGTCTGATACCTAACAGATCCAGCCACTTAAGTGCCCAATGATACGCAGTTCAAAAGTATGCTCACAGAAGCACTGTTTACATCAGAAAATGAGGACAGGCAGGAGAGTGCTCAAATATAATTCCAACAGCAAAGATGTCTCAATGAAAGACCACCATGTCAAGAGACATTAAATATGGTCCCAAATTTTCTGCATCATAAAAACCAACCAAAATAACCAGAAATGGAGGGGAAAATGCTACAAAGTGTTACAATGAGCACCTTTTGACCTGTCAGAGAGCGAGCATTTAAAAAATGAAAATGGATGCTGCTGAGGGTATACAGGAGCTCACTAGTGCAGTGTGCACCATCATTCTTAGAAAAAATTTGGCCTTTGGTTAGACATTAAAATTACCTATTCCTTTTCAATCAGCAAGGTATGTTAAAGATAAGGCAAGTGGATAAAATACTATTAAGAAAAAAAAAACTAAGACGTCAGCTGCACACTAGTTGAATTTTTGCAGGTACACCTAATTTCCAGGTTGAGTAACAAATGACAGCAAAGTGACATCATTTTATACATGGAAGAGTAAGAAGGGATGAAGGTCAGTCAGGGAAATGTGTGTTTTGTCAATGCAGTACTGCTAGGTAACTGCAGTCTAACACAGATCTGGGGCCAAAGTTAGGAACAGAAGTACTGGTTGACTTCCTCCTGTAGGGTTACCTAACCCCAGGTGCCATATGCAATGAGATCAGTGGCCCTCCTGGCCAAGTGACCCCAGTGCTTACTCCTAACTCATCCTGTCCTCCACTTGCAGCTCACAGGCAACCAGCAGTAGCAGGACCAGATGCTGCGTTAGAGCCTGCCAGGGACCCATACTCACCATGCTCTCACTGTGGAAGACCAGATCCCTAGTGACTTCTTCCTGTGACAGTGAGTCTGGCCAATCACAAGCCTAACTGCTCTACCCACTTGAACCCACTTCCCCATGGCAACAACCATGCCCACCACTGAAGAAAACAGAAGCTATGTGTTTGCAGGTGGCTGAGGGGAGGAAGTCTAAAGATTTATCTCATATCATCAGATGGATTATTAAGACTGAAGAGGAAATCTGTCCAAGAATGGTCCACAAAGGCTACTATAAAATGGAACTCAATCAATCAGGTATTGCTTGAAGATATCTGAACCCTGTGGAATGCTGGAGTATCTGTACTTACTTTACCACTGGTCCCTGAGGGGAGGGACTGTTGCCTTTTCATAACTGCATTTTTATAGGCGTTTAATAGTGTTTTGTACATAGATGCAAAAACGTTTAATAAATATGACTTAGCAAAGTCTAAAAATAGCTCATGAAAGGCAATTGTAGGAATACAAGAAGGACATCCTATAGGGTAAAGTTTTATACATAATGAATTGAGTGGGGAGGAGTAGCATGTTAAGAATGTTAAGAAACATGCAAACTGCAACAGCCTTTCTTATAGTCTTAGCAAATTAGACCAGGAGACCATTGAAGACCAACAAAGATTTACCTCAAATAACCGCAAGCAAGCATATTATTAAACACTAAAGTGTCCCTCTAAAGATGGGGAAGAGGAAGAGATGCCCTCTAACACATCACCATTTGACATTACCTTAGAGGTTCTAGCTATAAACCAACTGAAGAAAAAACAGTTATAAATAGGGAGGAAGCATTATTAAGTATAGCATGGGAAAAATCCTATTAATAGAAAAATAAATGAATCCCCATGTTTATGTTTAACAGAGTATCTACAACTCTATAAAGTTTTTAAATTTACAGAAAGACAAAAAAAACACAAGGCCTAAATAAAGATATATAATATATACATATATATATATATATATATATATATATACATGTGTATACACACACACACACAAGAGCTACTCTTTTTCTGGGGAAAAGCCATGATAAAGTCATAACCACTTTCTTCTACAAGAATACACAGTAGTAACCAAGACAACTCTGCAGAAGTTCTACAAGGGTGGGAAACTGCTTATCCATAAAGACCCAAACACACACAGGGTATGTTGTTTCCAATACAAAAGACATAGCAAAATACAGAAACTGACTTGTGTGAGCGTATATACACACATGGAAGTGTGGCTTATAATAAAGGAAAGATTTTAAATCAGGAAAAAGATTAACTGTTTAAATACAAACTGAGAACTTCATAAATGGTAATGGTAACAAAGAAAGGCAAGAGTGGATAGACATTTTATAGTCTTTGACCAAGGTTATCAGCCTTTGATGTTAGGAGGTCTTTGACCAAGGTTATCAGCCTTTGATGTTAGGAGGTCAGTCAATAGTGCTGTATCAAATCTCCCTAAGAAATCATGCATTCCAACTATGTATCTCAGGAAGGCCAATGACAAAGAGACTAACTATCAAAATAGACCACTCCTCTGTGTTTTTGTTTTTTGGGGGGGGGCAGTACTGGGTTTGAACTCAAGGCCTTTGTGCTTGAGCCATGCTCCAGCCCTCCTCCTAAGTTTTTAATTGAACAAAGAACAAGAACAAAGTCCTTAACATCAAGTTACCTAATCATTAAGTCATGTTTTCAAGGAATGTCATGGCTTTATTTCCTTATCACAAACAAAATATAGTATTACCTAAAAGAACTGCCAAATATTCTGTGTAGAAAGTGCAAGCCATGCTCATCAATCAAATTAATGACTAACTTTTAAGAATCTATACATGTGTTCTTACTGAAAATGTAGCAATTTATGTGTATATAAAAATGATGAGAATATCACACATGCAACAGAATGCAGTTTTGAGAAAGCAAAGCCACAAATGGAGAGCTTGAGTTTAAAGAGATGTTTAATGGAATGGGGCTATGATTACACATAA